TTCTCCATGTCAGCTGTTCGCTGGGACAAAGCAGATTGGCGCCTGTTGCAATTTCCTGTTCAGATCTTCACATTCAGATCTGAGAGCTGCCACATCCTCTGTCAGGCTAGAGTTAGATCCACTGAGCTCCTTTTACTCTTCTCCCATTCATTATCCTTGGCTTTCATATTCTCTGTCAGATTGTGCAGCTGTTGACCCTGGGCTTCATGCTGTTCTTTCTGGTGACCGTGGTTGTGATTTCAGAGTCTCAAAGTTGGCCTCAGTTTCAGACAGCTTCTCTCCCAACCTGGCCATCTCAGCCTGTTGATCTGTCAACCTGGATTTAAGTGTGTCTATTTCTCCTCCCTTTCTTGTCTGGAGGTCCTGGTTCTGTTGTGTCTGGTCCAGAAGCCTTGTGTGCTCTTCCTTCAGCTCATCCAGTTCCTTCTCCACCTGACTAAGCTGCTGACCCATGGCCACCATCTCATCACTCTTCTCCTGCAAGCTGGCCCTAAGCTTTTTCTCCTGCTCCGCCCAGACACTTTGTGTATCTGAAATTAATATGTCACTTTTACAAAGCTGTCACTCCACCATTGCAGACACTAACATCTGCCAACTAGGGATGTCACAGTTTGAATATCTAAAATCAGTTATTCATCTTTCTAAAACTGTTCCATATCAGATCAACAATTTTTATTAATCAGAAGTGCAGTTTCTGATTTTGATCAACAATTCCAGACTGACAATCAATGCATTTTTGTCATGTTTAGCATGGACTGACTTTGAATGAGACTAATGGATATGAAAGATGTGAGTACATAAACAATGATTCATTCTGACTCCAGGATTCCATCATATACAAAAAAAATACCGGGTCTTCAGCGTGACGAGTGAACGCTTTAACCACAAGGCTACCCCACCGCCCTTCATGTTTGACTTTGATGAGATATCAGTGATATGACAAGAGCAGATTATGTCAATGATATTGTTGGAAACTGGGTAGTGTCTATTATTTTCTATAGTGAATACGGCAGATTGTGAAAACAAAAATATTGTTTCAAAATTGTCACTGACAGTAATTGTTAGCAATATCAAACTAGATTAATAACCAACTACCAATTTGAACCTGTTAGGAATTCTAAAAGAAATTGTAACCATTTTCCCCGAGTATTCATGACTGGCCCAGCATCATTGACAACTTTTTTGTGGAAAGAAATAATGAATGATAATTATTGCAATGGATATGACCAATAATCATAGCTGATATAGAACGAGTATACATGAGAAGGGACAAAGTGTCAAACCTACCTTTGAGTTGGTTGTCCTGGTGGTTGAGAGTGGCAGTCTTAGCTTCGAACTCCCGAGTGAGAAGATCAAGAGCCTCTTCTTTCTCTGCCAAAGTCGCCTTTAACTTCTCTATAGTCACATCCTGAGAGCTGCGGACCATACATGAAGTCCCATCAATAAATGCTTAATTTAATAGGTCAGGCAATTCATTATAAGGCCTAACCATTAACATACATTGTAAACGTCATGATGAAAATCATTTATGCAACATTTTCCTGAAGTATCTTCAAAATGCACTGTAAAAGAACAATGGTTTAGACACAAAGATTACCCACACCAGAAATTTACCGTATAACGTTTCACCATACAAAGTTAATATGCATATTTTTCTATTCTTCATAGTATTTCCCTGTTTTTTTCCCCCATGGTATAAAAATGTAATTTTTTGAGTAAAATTGATATTTTATACTTATCCTGACTCATGCTCTTTTTGCTTGTCTCCTTCCTCTTGCGAACATAGTGGAACACTTGTATCTCCCTAATTGAAGCTCCCTTCAATGTAAAATCACTAATTAGTACACCACGAGTTACCTCCCTTCCACAAGCGCGGGAACGAGGGCGCCACCTCTACCCATGTGCCTCACTCTCTCCTCATATACTGAGCCCAACATTTGAATTTACAGGGAAATCCAAAGTGTTATTTGGGAGGATGGGAGGGTTGATTCATGAGTCAGGATAAGTATAAAATATCAATTTTACTCAAAAATTACATATTTTTCCTTATCCTGACTCATGCTCTTTTTGCTTGTAGAATCCAACAGAGCGGAGGTGGGAATATATAATACTTTGGATTTTAATAATTAGTGATTTGAACTGTGATGATTGTAATAACCCTATGGGAACTTCATAAAGGCATTGAACTGATGAATTCCTGCTGCCAGCTTATCAGCTGCCATATAGAGGTTATTACAATGTACCCTATTATGATAAGTATATATAATATTAATACAATGCTTAAGACTAATAGACTTAAGCTTGTTAATATGCTAGTATAAACTCCTTAGAGTTTGTTAGCTAAAATACTTTAAGATATAAACATAGCACTAAGCTTAAAATATGATTAATTTTAAGCTAATTATATAATAACAAACCTCTTTAGGGTTTGTTAGTTAAAATATTTATATGATATAGACAGTGCTGAGCTTAAGATATGAATAAGCTTAGCTATATATATAACAGCAAACTTTGTAGAGTTTGTTAGCTAATACATTTTACAATATGAGTATAGTATTGTGCTTAAGATATAATTATCTTAAGCTACATATAATAGCCAAACTTAGAAGAGTTTGTTAGCTAATATATTTTTACAATATGAGTATAATACTGTGCTTAAGATATAATTAACTTAAGCTACATATATAATAGCCAAACTTAGTATAGTTTGTTAGCTAATATTTTTTCAATATGAGTATAATACTGTGCTTAAGATATAATTAACTTAAGCTACATATATAATAGCCAAACTTAGTATAGTTTGTTAGCTAATATATATTTTACAATATGAGTATAATACTGTGCTTAAGATATAATTAACTTAAGCTACATATATAATAGCCAAACTTAGTATAGTTTGTTAGCTAATATATTTTTACAATATGAGTATAGTACTGTGCTTAAGATATAATTAACTTAAGCTACATATATAATAGCCAAACTTAGTAAAGTTTGTTAGCTAATATATTTTTACAATATGAGTATAGTACTGTGCTTAAGATATAATTAACTTAAGCTACATATACAATAGCCAAAACTCTGTAGAGCTTATTAGCTAATAGATTTATAATGTAACCATAGTACTAAGCTTAAGATATGATTAGACTTAAGCTAAATGTATATAGCAAAAAAAACTCCTTAGAGTTTATTAACTAATATACTTTTATGTTATAAACATAGTACTGAGCTTAAGATATGATTAAACTTAAGCTATATATATATAATAGTAAAACTCCGTGAGAGTTTGATAGCTAATACATTTTATTATGTTGATTTAGACCTAGTATTGAGCTTAAGATATGAAGTAAACCTTAAGCTAAATATATAATAGCAAAAACCTTTTAGAGTTTTAATAGCTAATATACTTATATGGTATCAACATAGTATTGAGCTTAAGATATGAAGAAACCTTAAGCTACATATGTATAGCAAAACTCCGTCAAGAGAGTTTGTTAGCTAATACATGATATAATGTAACCATAAAGCTTAAAATATGATGAAAACTTAAGCCCAATATATAATAGCAAAAACTCTTTTAGAGTTTTGATAGCTAATATACCTATATGCTATAAACATAGTACTGGCGCTTTAAGATATGAATAAGCTTAAGTTACATATATAATAGCAAAACTCCATAGAGTTTGTTAGCTAATACATGTTATAATGTAACCATATTGCTTAAGATATGATGAAACTTAAGCCAAATAGCAAAAGCTCTTTAGAATTTGTTAGCTAATATAGTTATATGATATAAACATAGTACTGAGCTTAAGATATGAATGAGCTTAAGCTACCTATATAATAGCAAAACTCGTGAGAGTTTGTTAGCTAATGTATTTTACAATATGAGTATAGTACTATGCTTAAAATATACTTGACTTAAGCTACGATATATATAATAGCCAAAAAAACTCTGTAGAGTTTGTTAGCTAATGCATTTATCATGTAACCACTGTGATGATAAAAACGAAGCTTAAGCAAATTATATATAGCATGAAGCTATTTAGTACTGTTATAAGATAAGTAAAATCTGTAAGATTGACTTATCTTCTCCGAGGAACTGTCAACTGTTGTGCAAGGACCATGGGATCAAATTGGTGGATACCTGAGATGTCCTCGGTGGTGATATCTCTCAGATAATGGTTGGCAACCACCATATAGGATCTACAGTAATAAACCCTCCATTATTTCAAATAACATTTGTGTAGATGAAATTGTAGAAGTTAGCTCTAATATCAAGAGTATTAAAGCTCATGGAGGGTCGGATTAGGTCCATCTGTCTTGTATGCACGTAGTATGACAGTTCTGATCCAAACGGAGATATAGTCATGTGAGACTACACTCTGGAAGTAGGATGATGATAGAGGAAAAAATCTGTTGTATTTTTCTTCCTGTTTGGTTTGGTGGAGATAAATTTACAGTGCTCTTGCTGGCCAGTGTGATAGCATCATCGTATCATGGAGTCCAAGTATGTCATCCAGGCATGTTCATAAACCTCACTTGTGAGGTGTTGTAGCACTATATTCATATCCCCAAGTTGGTATGCGTGAAACTTCCGTTTATTCTCCAAACAGAAACTTAGTAGGTTTACTAACCATCTAGTTGTGTTAGTAGCTTGATGATGAAATTCAGGTGTAGTCTGAAACGCTGTGGATTTCGATCCACTTGTATCACGCCGCCTAGGTAAATCGCTACATGTCCTTGACGATGTATGTGCACAACCGAGTTTGTGTCCTCGATGAACTTTATGTAAAATCGCCTGACTGCTGTGCCCTTGTCTAAACTTGACAGGGGAGGTCTCTAACCTGAAGAAAGCAGCCTAATCCTGAAGGTTCAGGTTAACTGGGCTGTAAGGAGGCTTGCTCTCGTTCATTGATATAAAGTTGTCACTTGCAACCTATGTCTTGAACTGTGAACTATGCTTTCGACCTCTGTGTAGAGGCGTTGTTCATCATCGGGTCCAATCAGAATAAGGCATTTTGATTCTGTAGAGTACCAGCTGTGATGTCACCGGTGTAGCAGGAAAAAGGAACCTTGTATAATATAGTGCGTCGTTGATATTAGAACAATCGTCGGTCTTCATCGTAACTCCGAAGTTACCCGAAAGTGACCACGGTTTCGAGGATTAATGGTAAACGCCGAAAGCCGCTAGCAAAATACCAAACTCTGTAATATTAATGCTGGGTAGGTTATTTTCCTGGCTGTCGTGAAAGTGCTTCAGTTTTGAATATAATTCGACTTCTTTATATATAAAGGTACAATAACTTGTAAGTTGTCAGCTTGTAGACTGTATACATGAATGTATCGTCATAATTGTAGAATTAAAGCTGAATTTGTTGTACATATTTCTTCTCAGAAATGTTGACGATTATGAGTTATACTGGCTGTAACAAGGCTGCTGTTCAATTCCCCTCGATATTGAATTGTCTGCAGATATGCTGTAATGGTCCGCATGTAGATAATCGTGATAGTCGTCCGGGATTGCATATACTAGCAATTTATACGGAATAGTTGATTTCTGTGAAGATCTATGAAGCGTCGTTGACAAATTAATACAGCGGCGTTCTGTGTTGTAAATAGCCTGTGCAATTGTCTTAGCGTGGGCTTATAGGCGGCATCTGGCATACAGTTGATAGACAACTTATGCGATGTCTTGAACGGACTGAGGAGTAGCTATATATGACGAAAGTGGCTAGTATATGGAGACCTTGGAGAGACTTCCTCGGTGAACGCCGGAGACTTCACGGAAGCTCGAAGTATCCCTTCTAGATCTACTGGTGAAGTAGACTTGGAGCCACCTTGTAGTTTCGCGACCTTCGCGAAGGTATCGAGTCAAAGTCCGATTAGAATATATATATATATATATAGAGGCTTTGCTTCGCGGGAATGGCCTCTGTGTTTAACAGGATGTGGAATTCAGCGGCGCTACTCCTCCTCGCGACGCCCCTTGTGGCTGGTGAGGCTCTAGCTCCTTGAGGCGACCTGGGACTTGCTGGTTCTGCATAAGTAGGGCCGAGTGGATCATCTTATCATTTTCAGAAGTCGTGTGCGAAATCTGGCGATAAGTGTCTCAATGATGGTTCTAGATCTATTGAGGTATTAACGAACATACGTTCTCGGTCATGGATTCAACTGAACCAATTTACGATTGTAGTTCTTATTGTTGATATCGATGATCAACTTGTAGTTTTCATCGATGTCTTAAGCATTGAAGAAGGGGTCCATGTTGTGCGTGGAAAACTTCTGAGGCGTGAAAGTTAGGCAATTATGGTGTCTGAACTTTGTGGCTTTATGGGATGCTATGTCTAGATTCTGTGCTACCGCAGCGAATTGGTCGATCGAGGTAGGGTGATAGCATCATCGTCGTCTTCCTTCATCAGGTATGATTCTGCGTCTGCTGCCGCCACTCTAGGAAGGTGATGTAGACTTGTGTGCAGACTTGTGTGGTAACCTGTAGAGGCGATCGATGTGGTGATGTCTGAGGAGATCGGAGACTATTGACAGCTTCGCAGCTCTTGAGTAGTCCCTTGACTCTGTTAAATGGCGATCTATATTCGGGTGTCGCTTCCGAAAGTGCCTTATGCCACAATGCCTTTCGACCTTCAAAACGCCAGCTGAAACGAGCTGGCTTCTCGTTCGGTCGCTGGGAAACGGCGATTTGAGCTTAGCAGAAAGGCTTCCGTGAGGTCTGGTGGCTGAGTCTGCATCTAAGGATGAAGCGAGGAATGTGATGATCTATCCGCCAGCGAAGGCCTTCGCTGGCTGTACATCTGGGTCCGCCGTCAAGGTGGTCTCGACTTCCTTGGCGAAGGCTGCATAAATCTTGGCTGCTTTCGTTGACTGGAGGTGCCTCTAGAGTGTTGTCTAAGTTGGAGCCTTCGCGAAGGCCATTACTCTGGGCTGGCTGCTTCTCCAGTTTGTAGTGACCCTCCATCACGCGACCATGATTTGCCGTAGTAGCTTCGTCTGGGATGGTCTGCGGCAAGTAGTGGGGTGCCATCTCTGCTGTTAGTGGTGGGGCCCTCAGGTAAGTCGTCTGACATCAGTGTAGAGACATCAGGCTGCATGGCGATCTCTGCTGATGTCATTGTAGCTGTCACCCGGTCGCTATTTGTCTCATACACGTCGGGATGATGATCGGCTGATCATCGTAGAAGGCCAAGTTCAGCGGCTGGAACAATCTCGGTTGAGAAAGTCCTAGTAGACTTCTTTGAATTCCCCTCAGAGGTCGGCGCTGCCCTGGGGGTCGCGAAGTCTGGCGTTGAGAGTGTTGGTAGCGACGGGACCCTCAGGAAGATCATCGAATGTTGATCTGCGCTGACATCACTGTTGCCGACATCAGTCATTCTTTGATGTACATCAGGAATGATGATCGGCTGATCATCATACAGGCCTAAATCTCGCTGATGAGAACAATCTCGGCATGGAGAAAGTTCTAGTAGACCGTTGAATACCCCTCAGTCTCACGGCGACGAAGGGATGTCTGGGGAAGCAGGGCGCTTCTTGAGGCGGCGGACTACGCCCCACGCCTCTCCACCATTCTAGCGGAAAACCAGGCGGGAGAGGGTCGACCAACAGCAGTAGACTGGCGAGGGTTCAGGTGTATCAGTCATGCTAGACTCTGCATCGTGACCTATCTGCTGCGGCGTCTCAAGCGCAGTAATTATTTATTAAAGGTAGAATTGGATAAATTAGTATCGCAACTGCAGCGTGAATCACATGAAACATGGCGCAGTACAGCTAGGCATATTAATCTTGGATCAGCAGCAGAATAAAAAGCGTAATGTGCAACAGTACAGAATTTTTTATCAGCGTAATCCACTGCAACAGCACGGTCCCGTGCATAAACAGTAGAACACGACTAAATATCAATATATAATTGTTGAAGATACTAGCTAAACCTCTATAGATCTCTATCACGGGGTAACTAACTAAATATAATCAAAGGATATAGTGTGTCGGGAGACACATGCGCTCTCACGTCCAGCTCACTGGGCGAAGAAGGAGAGAGTGAGGCACATGGGTAGAGGTGGCGCCCTCGTTCCCGCGCTTGTGGAAGGGAGGTAACTCGTGGTGTACTAATTAGTGATTTTACATTGAAGGGAGCTTCAATTAGGGAGATACAAGTGTTCCACTATGTTCGCAAGAGGAAGGAGACAAGCAAAAAGAGCATGAGTCAGGATAAGGAAAAATAAATGTTATTCTCATATAATGCAAGAGAACGAATGTTATGATCATCTATTCACTGCACAGACAGCAGGAGTAATGGGTTGTTGAAGAGGTGTGTATTGCATTGCGACAATACCTGTGTGTCTCCTGCAACTGCTTAATGGTGTTCTCAGAGTGATCCAGTCTCTTCCCCAGGACCTCCCTCTCCTGTTCAAGCACCTGCAGCTTCTCCTGCAGGTCTGTCATACGGCCGTCTCCTAACAACAGTTTGTCACAGGCACTCTTGTGTTCTGCCTCCAGTTCTGAAAATTTTATCACCATGTTAAAACATATTCTCAAAAAAAAGAAAGAGGAAAATGTTACTTAAAAAGTGATGTACAAAAACTTAGCTAAACCTGTAGAGGTTTCCAATTCTTTGAAGAGAATCTTCCTTGGGGTAAATATATGCCTTTTCTGCAACTGAAAATGTCATGTGACAGTTGTAACAAAGTTTTAATAAAAGATTATACAATAATAATAAAAAATGTCTTTTATTTACTATACAGTGACACATAGTGACAATTAGTGATAGAGCACTGAAAGGGTGTACACATAACAATATAATCATCTCCGACAGGAGAATAAATTGTATGAGTAAACAAGAAAAAATTGTGTCCAGGGACACGGATGCCCCCGCTGCTGTAGGAAGAGTTCACACATTCAGGGTCCCACTGAAGTACTTGAAAACACTAAAAACAATGTGTTGAGGGGTTAGATAACACAACCTATTATCATATAAAGATCAATAATTGAACAAAATTCACGAACAAGTTCAATAAACATCTATGCAACTATGAGATGCACACCTTTCGAGTCCCAATGAAACACACATATAAGCTTAATCAATTCTGTTGAGCAGTTTTTGTGGAAAAGTGGATAGACCTAATCCCCTATTTCACTATCATCAGAGAGAAATTCAACAAAATTTATTTAAGTTCAAATGTCTCTAAACAAACAAAAACATATCAAATACAAAAACAAAATATGAGATGCACACCTTTAGAGTCTCTATAAAAGACATGTAAGCTAAATGAATTTTGTGCAGTGGTTTTTGAGGAGAAGTGGATAAAGTACACCCCCTGTTGTATGGGACGAACAGGATGAATAGAACCAAATTCAACTAAGTTCAAACATATGTAGAAGTGACAAAATTAAGAAATTGGATGAACAAGGTATGAGATGCACACCTTTAGAGTTTCAATGAAACACACGTAGAAGCTCAATCAATTCTGTTGAGCAGCTTTTGTGGAGAAGTGGATAGACTTCATCCCCTATAACACTATATTCAGAGAGAAATTCAACAAAATTTATGTAAGTTCAAACGGCATTAAAATTGGAAAAATAAATAAAATACAAAATCAAAATATGAGATGCACGCCTTTAGAGTCCCTATAAAGCACATGTGTAATCTAAATGAATTCCATAAAGTAGTTTTTGGATAGACTTCATCCCCTATTACACTATCATCATAGAGAAATTCAGCAAAATGTACCTAAGTTCAAATGTCTCTTAACTTAAAAAAACCCCAATAAAATACAAAAACAAAATATGAGATGCACACCATTAGAGTCCCAAGAAAGCCCATGTATAAGTTCATTGAATTCCACAGAGCGTTTTTTGTGGAGAAGTGGAAAGAGTACATTCCCTGTTTCGGACGGACGGACGGACAGACGTACGTACACGGAGGGTAACCCTATATGCCCCCAGCCATATATGGCGGGGGCATAAAAATGAGCCTTCAGTGGTTAGAGCAATTGAAAATAAGAATCAAACCAATGAACCGAGACTCACTCGGTCAGGTGGCAGAACACTGTCCACTGGAGAGAACAGACCAACCAAACCGAGCACGATCTCTAGAATGCGTGTCGAGCTGGTAGTGTCGGATAAAAGTACTCGGCCGGCTCCAAATAGCGGCGGAGCAAATCTCTTCAATGGTCAGTGCCGCTGCAAAAGCTTTTGAAGTAGCCACTGCCCTAACCAAGTGAGCCTTCAACCCCTCGGGGGGAAGCCCCGAAGCCAGAATTGTGTCTGCAACTGCCGCAGGAATTCCACAGGCTTCGAGGTTAGACCTGACAGAGGCCAGGCCACCCACTGGATCTGCGGATCCAGGTTGTGCACTCCGGTCTGAGTGAGAATGTCCGGTCATAAAGGTAATAGAACAGGAGGCTGAGCCAGAAACCTGAGGATTACCGGAAAAAACAGCTCTGTGACAGCCGAAGAGGTGCCATCCTGGATAATCTCCAGGGTATACGTTAAGATCACTCTTCACTATACCCTAGATGCATCCACGGCTTTGCCCAATGATTTTATTACCTCCCTTTTCTGGCTTTTTATCGAATCAGGTGTCTACGCTGGGAAGTTGAACGAACCAATCCCAACTGACTTTCGCTTCTTACATTATCTAACCGTTTAAACTTGGCAACACAATTGATGCAAATGTACTCTGAAAGAGGTAGAAGGATTTCTTTCATATATTTTTTTAAAGTTTCAGATCTGTAACTTTGTCTGTATGATTTCCCCAAAAATCTGAGTGTCACTGCGAACAAACCTTCGCGACTGCGACTGCTATCTTTGTTGACACTGGAAAGCTCGGATGTAACGGCGGCTTATGTGATTGGCTACACTGAGAATGCGGAGCCAGCAAAGGGAGATAATATAATTATCGGGCCAAAACATGGATGCAGCCAGGGTATAGTGGAGAGTGCTCGTGAACTAATACCCTGGAGATTATAGAGGATGAAGAGGTACCAGTAGCACAAGAACTTGAAGAAGCCAGGCCGCTGGGTGGATAGCTGGGAGAGGACCCTGGGGATCAGCGGTAGAGGTGGGAGGCAGCCCAACAGTACCCTGTCCGTGGAGAGGCTCAAGGGGAAGCCCCTGGAGAGATTCCAGACATCGGGTCCACCACTGAAGGTGAGGGAATAACCACTTTCGGGAACTGTGAGACACTTCTCCAGATCCAGAGTGAGCCCACAGACATGCCAAAGCCTGCTGTATAGGGCGTATCCTCAACCTCGCCCACCACACTACAGAGACGGTCGCCACCATGTGACCCAGCAGCTGGAGCCATGTCCGTGCCACGGCCTGGGGACGTGAGAGGAACGAAGACACCATCTCACATACTCTGGTGATCCAATCAGGCGAAAGGGAAACCAGACCCTGATGTGTATTGAGCCGCGCCCCGAGGAGTCCTGGGAGGGTACCAGGTCAGATTTCTCGAGGTTCACGATCCACCCCAGATGGATTAGAATATCTAAGACAACGTGAGTGGAGTCAAGACTCGCTGGCTGAGTTAGTGCATGTAGCAACAAGTCGTCCAAGAGACAATGCCTTACGACCGAGCTAATGTGGCCGGCACTAACATGAGCTTGGTGCCTGGGGGCAGTAGATATGCCGAAGGGGAACACCCGAAATTGGTCACAACTCCCGTCGAACGAGAACCGAAGGTAACGCTTGAACGAGGGATACATGAGTATACGCATCCTTGAGGTCGATCGACGTGAGCCAATCGCCCGGCTGAACAGACGAGATCACTGATCGAAGTGTCTCCATTTTGAAGGATGGAACCTCTATCATGCAGTTCAACCCCTTGAGGTTGAGTATGGTACGGAAGCCTCTGTCTTTCTTCGGGATGAGAAAGTACGTGGAATACAGACCCGATAGTTCATCTCCAGGTGGAACACGCTCCATTGCGGACTTGGACAGCAAAGCCTGAACCTCGTCTTGCAGAATACCTGCCTTGACCTGACAGGACGGCACGGGAGTGCCCCTTATGACGGTAACCTCTGGCGGGCCTCGCTTCCAAAGTGGTAAGTGGACAACAGTATCAGTAGGCTGCGGTTGTTTGTGCCCCTTTCCCACTCCTGCCAGAAGAGGGAGAGGCAGCCACCCACTGGAACATCGGGCAGAAGCGCATGGGTTGTCTCCTGCAAACTTATAACCGCAGGGACAAACCCGACAGAGGAGCTCCCACATCAGATGCCGCGGATCGCAAAGAATCCCGGTCAGATGGGCCTGAACTTCAGTAAGCTGCGAGCAACACCACATTCAGCGAAATGTCGCCAGTTTGGCGATCCGTTCCAGGACGGATCTCTGTAAAGAGGATAGTTACACCCCATGGACCACTACCAAAATCTGTTGGCTGGTGTTATGGAATACCTCCTCGTAGCTACGATACACGGTGCGCTGAGGGGCCCCCGAATGGGGAAACGGTCGAACCAGCCGACCCTGTTTAGCTGCCGGAAGGTTACTGCAGTGAACACACACACTAGTCCACCACCGGGACTTGGAAAAGAGAGTCATCCCCCAACTGGTATCTCTTAACAAGCTCAGGCAGATCAAAACGAAGCCGAGAACCAATGAGTAAGGGATCGACCACATCCTGCACCAATGATGGGAGCACACGGAGCCAAGTCTGAGTAGGCTGCCGAAGGGCGAAAGCCTCCCCTGGAAGGCGGAGCTCAGCCGAGCCCTGTTGCTCCAATGGAATCGCAGCCTGAGGGAGAACCAGTGCTATGCGCTGACGCACCTCCCGTAAGGCCAATGGAAAATTCCCTCTGATTCTTCTGCATCCCCGACCTCTATCGACTCAGCCTCCGAGCCCGGAGCCAGAGTTGCAACCTCCCAAAGGAGAGGGACCCAACCACCAACCCGGGTTGAAGACCAACCGAGGACACCAGGGGAAAGAGAAAACCAGACAAACTCTCCCGTCCCGACCGCCACACACGGAACAGGGCCCCGAACCCGAGACTCAGAGAGGCCCACCGGGAGAACAGTGGCCTCCGTTCTCAAGGGTGAAACTCGAGTGGTTGGATACACCGGGGATACTCAACCGGCTAAGAGCCAGAACGGAAAGAGAGACTGGGCGCGAACCCTCCCCCAGCGCCAGAGCCGAGACAGCCAAAGCCGAACCCGAAGCCAGAGGCAAAGGATCAACGGCACACTCGAGGCTCGGGGATCTAGCCAAGCCTGGTAATCCCGCACCAGAACTCTCCGCCCCACCCTCTGTGTGTGTGTGTGTGTGTGTGTGTGTGTGTGTGTGTGTGTGTGTGTGTGTCAACACGAATAATCTATATGAAAAACAGTCACTTATAGCCTGACAAAATACAGCTAAAACAAGTGTAGAAGTAAGCACGGCTCACATAGCCCCGCTTCCCGGATAGAAGGGCAGAATAATGTAATTTTTAGAGTAAAATTGATATTTTATACTTATCCTGACTCATGCTCTTTTGCTTGTCTTCTTCTTCTTGCGAACATAGTGGAA